GTAACAGCTTTATTTATTTTAGGTGTAAATATTTTATGTGCACAAGGTGTTGTAAACATATACTTATCAATATATTGTGTAAATGTTGCATATTTTAATAGGAAATTTTGTCCTAATAAAATATCACATCCTATTGTGGTTGACATATATATTGTCTCAACAAATACTTCTCTAAAGGAAATTAGAAAAGGTACTTGAGTAGCATACTTGCAGTATATTACTTTATTTCCTCCTGCTGTTGTAGCAGTTACTACTTTCTTTGAATTATATTTCCAGCATTCAGATGGCAGTACATTAGGTAAGCAAAGGCTTATTGTACTTCCTGTATCTAAGTAAGCGTGAAATTTAATTCTACAATATTCTTTTATATTGAGTGTAATTTCAATATATGGGCTCATGGGATTAGTACTTATTACTCTTTCCATGATAACAATGATTTCATATTTTCATCTATTCTTGGAATGATAATCGGATTATCATCAACTGTTATTTTTAAATATTCTTGGCAGATTTTATAAGGGCTATATCTCTCAAGGAAGTTCATTCCTAATAGAATAGGCGAACGATTCACTCCATATAATTCATCTTTATATAGAATTATTTCTTTAGTATATTCTTTCTGATCCTCTCCTACAAGTATAAGAGGAAATTTAACATATTTTCTTATTTCAAGATTATTTCCTAAATAATCCTTAAAAATATATGGTTCTGGTATTTCAAAGTCTATTAGATGACTAACAAACTTAGTATTTACATGACTTTTATCTGCTCCAGTATCTATAAGGACAAGAAGATTTTTCTTAAATCCTTCTTGGTTTACATATCTTGTCCTAATGTAATATTGTGAACTTGATGGTTCAGCAATACTTAAAGTTTTAAGTCTACTTATCCTAGAGTCTTGTCTAGAGGGAAATCTTGCAATAAGATTGTCTCCTTCTAAGTTGACACTATTTCTTCTTATTAATTTTCCTTCAGAATTAATTTCTTTTGCTTGTTTATGGAAATCAAGCATTATTTGTTCTGGTATCGTTACTTCATGTTCTTAATATTTCCTAGGAGGTATGTATTGTGCTAATTCCTCAAAATCTTTATGTATTATTATGTTATCAGTGATTTTCCTTAAATTGTGATGATGGCTAGTACTAAAAGCAAAAATTGATTTTATGCTTATACTAATAGCCTTACTTCTTCGTAACATTTTTAAATTTCCAATTCTATAATATAGATTGAAACTTTGATCAATATTTTCATCACTCAATGATATGGCATAATTTGGTTTTACTCTAAATATTATCTTTTGATAGACTAAATTTCCTACAACTGTTCCTAATAGAGCATCTATAGGATCTTGTAAGATTCTGTTGTCTATACAGTATATTTCTATTGGTATATTCATACCTTCTCTAAAAAATCCTTTTACCATTATCTGGACTCCTCCTAATTCAATACATTTTAATTTGTTCCTTACATTTTCTGGGATTTTAGATAATTTTTGTTTTACCCATTCTTTTGTGATTATAGGAATTCTTGCCTTTCCTATAGTATCTTCTATATTGATAGACATTTCTTTATAATTCATACTAACAATTGTTTTATTTACCCTTGGTAAAATTCCTAAGAATCCTTGATGAAATACATCTTTTTCCTGTAGATCTAATATCTTTTTAGTGATTCCTGCATATTTTTTAATATCAAAAGTTATTTCTTGATTAATACCTTCTATAGAATCTTCAACTTCTTCAGTTGTTTCTATTTATATTTCTGATTCTTGTATCTCCATTCAGAAACAATTCCTCTGAATGTATGTTCTATAAATCCAAAAGCTGTATATGTTTCCCATTTGTTAAATTGTATAGCTAAATCTGTACTTTTTATCCATGTTTCAATAGCTTTATCCTTATCTACACAGTCTAAATCTAACCATACTCCTGTTGTGTGAATTGGTTCATTATAAGATTTCATTGGATTTATTTCTTTTATGGATTGTTTTCTTACATTTCCAGTGTATCTTTTCTGGGTTTTTCTATATTGATTAATATCAGCTTTATTAGGTATAGGGGTACCATAAGGGAAATCTTGTTCTTCATCACTACTAAATTCTACTTTTATATCATGAGTTTTTATCTAATAGGGCATTTCCTATTTGTAGATTATGTTCTAGATTCTCTAATCTTTTATGTATATCCCCAAAATTTTCATTTGTGGTATTCTTAGGTAAATAAGGATAACTAGGTTTTTTATGTTTTTCAACTTTTTTCAAAAATTCTTCTATTATATTTTCTTCATCTACTATATTCATCATTATTTTTAGTTCGTAATCTGGCTCTGATACCATTTGGTCGGAGTGTACAGCGGAGGTGTTAATATTTTTGAGCCAATTAGATTCTTCATAAGTATTTAAAATGTCACAATAGAATTTATAAAATTCACTATTTTTTATTAATACTTTTTCTTGAATAATTATGTTTAATTTTTCAATTCTCCTTCTTAAATTAAGAATTAATTTATATATGTCTTTTTCCATTTTGATTGTTTCGTTATCTATGGAATCATTTTTATTTTTTATTTTTGGGTCTAAATATTCTATAAAGAAGTCTTTCAGATCTTCTTCTAGATAGATTAATTCGTTTTCTGTATAGATTTTTAGATCAATAAAATTTTGTATAATATTTGGATCTAGATTTATTAAAAATTTATGATCTATATTTTCTTGAGGACCTATTTGAAAGTTTTTAGACATTGTAGTGGCTTTGGTTGCAATATCTTTATTAAGGGTATTTTTGGAAAATTGATTGTTTGGAGGCTAATTTTCAAATGTTTTTATTTCTTAGACTAATTTGGAAAATCCTTCTTCAATTTAAGCCATTAAGCTGTATTTCCCTTAAATAAATGGGCATCGACATGTTTTTGACAGATAAGTGAGATAATTATTTTTACTTTTCACCATTTCTTTTGATTTATTATTCTAAGTACGGAATAGAAAAAAAACATTATGAAAATTCTTAAACCTTTCGAGGATCATTCTTGATTACGGATTTTGGCTATCATCTAACTAGTCTAATAATTGAACGAGCTCTATTTATACCTCAAAAAACGCCTATTTTATATAAATTCTATATTTATTAATCAATTGAATTCTGAATGCTTGACACAATATTTTCGTGAATAGTTGATAGTAAAACATGCTACCCAAAAAGGAATCTATTGATTCTCTCCCAATTGGTTGCACCATAGGTGCGATAATTTACTTCACGGTCGAGATCCTTCTCCGAGCTCAGGTTATGGAAGAAGGAATCGAGAAGAAGGTATCAGCAACAACTGGTATCAAAGTTAAAAATTATGCACAACGAGATAAATTTTTTATTATTTTTATATTTTTAACATACCACAAGAGAAGAATTTGACATATATATTACGCTTATACCTTAAATACTCAACCCTCTGTCAAAAAATTAAAGAAGTTTACGAAAAAGGTTTTTTTTTTTCCACAAAAAGACCATTTACATGTTTTGTACAAAATAATCATATCTTTGGTTCAATACCCTTTAAAATCAAGCAAACATTGTGGAAAACAACTTGTAGTCCATTTTATTCATTAAAGACTTGTAAAATTAAAATTATGAATTTGCACTCCCCTTTAAATAAACAAAAAAAAAAAAAAAGATAAAGGAATAATTGCCATTATAGACCATTTTTTGAAAAATTGAAAATGGTTCAAATTTAAAAAATAAAAAATAAAAAATAAAATAAAACCTCACTCTTCTCCAACCAACATCACCTACTCCTTAGCCAACCATCACCACCTCCTATTCACTTTTCAAACTGTATTTTTATTAAATAACAAAATAAATTTATAAATACCAAAATCATTACAATTTCCAAGTAACTTCCTCATTATGAATTTCACATGAAAAATCATCATTCAATCTTTGTTAAGATTTGGGATCCCTCTTAACAAGGTTAACCTTATTAAGAGGAGTGACACAAGATCTATTTAAGTTGGTCAATATTTCGATAGTGAACTGATGTGATATTTATTTCCTTAACATGCCCCCACAAAATGATGGCTCTTTTTGAACAGATCAATCTTGAAATCCATGTGCTCATTTTTGAGACTCAATCGAATCGAATAATTCGTTGGAGCTTACTGGACTCTGATACCAAGTTAAAATTTGAGATGTTAAGATTTGTGGTCCATCTTAATAAGTCAACCTTATTAAGAGAAGTGGTCCAAGATCTATTTAAATTGGTCAATATTTCGGTATTTAACCAATGTGGGATTTATTCCCTTAATAGCCTTCAGCCTACATATTATATATGTTATGGTACGTAAATAGTTGATTAAACTTTGTGGATCGACTTGTATTTAATCATATACCTTGCGGGTGAATTTAAATTAATTGCAGTAAATTCCGATACAAGATTTTAGATTATCTATTTCTGATTAATCTAACCCAATCATTAAATTTTTTATTGAATTTATCAGGCAATTAATCCACACGAATTATCGCCAAAATTAGAAGAAATTGAGATTCAAAAATGCACACTGCAAATCATTGGGGAGGATTGTGGACATCAATGAAGGTGAGTCGACTATCGAGGATGAAAGGAGTCCAAACATGGACAGAGACAGGGCTTCAATGTCGCACCAACCATATCAACGCAGCAAAGCTAGTTGTTAGGGCCATTGGAAAAGAAGAAATATGTAAATTTGGATTGCATTAGCATAAATACTAGCTTTACCGATCGACAATGTGAAATATGATAGGTGGTGGTGGTGGTGGTGGAGGGCTGAGTAGGGATACGTGGGGTTGGTCGGCGAAATTTTTTTTTTGTTTATTTTTCATTTTTTTAAAACAAATTGGAACTTCTTTGCACTTTTTTGAAAATTTTGAAAATATATAAGATTATTGAGTAAAAAGTGCACAATTTGTGCATTTTTAACTCAATAATCTTACAATAATTGCATATGTGCATATGTTATGAATGTGAATAAGAAATTTTACGCAGAAACTCATAAGGCTTCAAATATATAGAAACAAGAGTTCCATTTACAGAATCTGCTTAGAAAATAGAATGAGTTACAAACTGGAATTATACATAAATATAAATCCATACTGATAAACAAGTCTGTTTTCTTATGAAATAACACACAAAATACTGAATTTGCTTACTTCAAATCATGATTTTGCCCAGTTTGATTACTCAAGGTAACCATCCTGACATGAAATTATTTAAACTGGGCCCTGCTGCTGCCATTGGATCAGTCTGGTATCTACAATTCAACAATATTTAATTGTCACATTATGCATTTTACATAAGATCTACACACAAATATAAGTAATAAGAGGGGATAGAATTTGTTTGGGAATGATTCGTCCGTCAGAGAAGATGAAGGAGAGTTAATTTCTTTCTTTTTGTTTTTTTTGTTCATTCATTTTAAGGTCGAAATATTGTTATCTCTATCTCATAGACGAGAAATTAACAATCAATAAATCTAGTAAGCAAAAGCAAGAAGTTATCTAAGTTTCAATAATTGTAATTAATACTGACATAATAGAAAGTAACTGGATCAATCAAGTAGCTGAATTCTAAAGAATATCACTATTTATTTGCTAAATAGACAAATTAGTTGAAAAAATCGGAAAAGCCGAGCTAGAGATCTTAAACATTTGTTATTGGAACATACCTTTGGCTGAGTGACTTGATTGCAATAACGCTTAAGAGCATATTTAGGAGAATCTCTATTTTTAAAGAGTATATTATATGATTTGAAGAACATCTATAAATTTAGAGAATTAAAACTTTGAAGTACTCCAACAAGCTCTTTATATTTAACACTTAATTTTACTATTTCAAAAAATTATTTATTATTTTTCTCCATCTTTTATTTTAATTAGCTTTTCTCTAGATTATTTTATTATTTTCCTAAAATTGAAACACCTTAAATGTATTTAATTATAGAGACTGAAAGTCAAACCCACTCTCTAAATTTAAAAAAATTAATTAAAAGAATTCCTTGAAGCATGATTTTAAAGATTAACTTTTTAAAATAGAGAGCATCTCACGTTTAAAGAGTTTTATGAAAATGCTCTAACTACAAATTTAGAATAAAATAATGTTTCTCGACCTCAAATGTTTAACACTAGAGACCTAGATCACTTGGACTCTTATTCCATGTTTGACATATTGTATTAGACGAATACCACAATGTTAGTTTTCCATGGGCATTTCCCGTGATATGCCCAGAAATTTTATCAAATATTCGACTATTATTCAAACATTTAATTCCTATATAAACACAAACAACAAGAATGACAACAATTACAATAAAACCTCCATAGTAAGAAATTGAAAGACGACGTACCCAATTTGTAAAGTGGGTTCACATTCCAAAGGATGAAAGAAACCATGGGGTTGAGGTTGAGTTGGTTCACGGCCATAGCCAATATCTTGAGGATCTTGATTCCACTGCAGACTAATGGGATTTCCTTCCATCAACTGCAAAAATTGCTCACATTCTCTTGTTTCATTTCGAATATACTATCTTTAAAACAAAGATAATTGAAATGGAAACACTGAAATGAATAGAAGAATATGTATACTATCGGAATAATCTAAGAGAATCTAAATAATATCACAATATATATAAATTTTTAAAAAAATACTGCCATTATGCATCAAATTTATCTTGAGCAAACAATGAGAATTTGTTAATGAATCACGAACCCTTTGTTTCAAACTTCTGTTGGCTTCATTTAGTGCATGCTCCTGTCCATAAGAATATATAAGACCAACGAAAAGAAAAAAGGAAAAAAAGAAAGTAAAACTGTTATCTATAATTCGAAATTGTTGTCAATTTCTGATTTGTTTTAATGTTAAAAAATACCACACCTTTCTTTGAAGGTCCGTGAGAGTATCCAGCATAGCTTGTGTCTGAAAATTGGATTATTAGAATTAATTAACAAAAAAATGTCACATAAACTTAATTTTAATTCGATATAGTGATGCAAAGAACACAATAACAATCGTGGTGTGATCTAAATAGCAATTCCACTGTTAGATTAAGTACGTACTCTTGTTGATCTGATTTGCTTAAGCGACATATCGAGTTGCCTCTCCAGTGATTCAAGTTCCTTGCTATTCAGTGAACCAAGATCTTCACCAAGAAGGTTCCTGATGGTGGCCAATAAAAAAAAAAATATTTACGTCAAAACTTACTTATATACTTATAATATTTCCGGCATGTTTTCCTCAATTTTATTGTAAATTAAGTTGTCAATGTAATTCCGATCCAAGGATTAATGACAAACCTTTGTGAACGCTGTAGGGCTTCATAACGCGCTTTCAACTTCAGATACTCCTGCTGACTGCTTAGTTCCTACAATCACCATACAATGTAATAAGTATTCATATGAAAAACCCTCGCTCATATGCGTTTTAATACAATGTTGAACTTTTGTTAAAAGGAAAAATTAATACAATTTTTATATCTTCCTTCTTATGAATTAAAGGGGAAGACATGTTATCAGGTTACGGATAGCTACAAAAGGTGAGAACTTGTAATAATTACAAAAATCTCTTAATTATGAAAGTAATAGCCTAGAATTTGTGAAAACTATTTAGAGGATGTAAGTTGGGTTTGTTTTTCATTAAAGGCAAAAGCTTGATGTATAATATAATATTAATAAATATTAAATATCGACAAGACTTGAACTTAAGATATATCTGTTGAATACATTTTGGGAACTATAAATTGAATTTAGACCCAATATAATCGTTGACATGATTAACATAGCAACACATGTCAAAATATCGATGAAAAATGGATCCAAGGACCAAGATGCAAATACAAAAAATTTCACTATTGAAGCTGATATTTATTAGGTAATATTTGCTTATTTCCACATTAGATACAAAAGTATAAACTATTTTTCAAAACATAAAATTAAAAAATCCTTTTACATTGGAATCTTTAGAAATTCTTTTATGATATTTTATTTAATGACATTATTTAGTAAAATAGAATAATTTTATGTTAATATATTATCAAGTACTATATACATTTCAAACATTCGAACTTTACAGGGCTTCTCCATACTTACCTATAGAAATTTCTTATTAAACGGAAACATTCCCTTTTATCACAAAGCAGAAAATCTCTAATTGTTAAACCTCTCCAAGAATGTGTTGTATTTAAAACCTTAAACCTATTTTTTCAGTGTGTGTTAAAATTTCCGAAGGCAAAGGAATCCCAGGTCCGCATCAGGTTCAGATTATGATTTTTGAATTAACTTTTGCAGTTTAAATTTTCCAAAATCTCCATTTTTTGTTTCTTCTGCTTATAATCTGAAACATACGTTTCTGTATTTTTATCCGTAAAAATCATTCTCAAACATTATGATTATTTAATTTAATATCAAATCTTTTCTTGGGTTTAGAATGACTAAATTTGAATCTGCTTAGTACAAGTACTTTTCCATCAATTTAAAGAAGGCGAAAGTTTTATTATTATTATTATTATTATTATTATTATTATTATTATTATTATTATTATTATTATTATTATTATTATTATTATTTTCATCTTTCTTGAATCTTGCTTTGCTTGAGAATTCAATGTTTTGTTCCAATAATGTATTATTATTCATCACAAATTTACTATCATTAAATTTTTTCTTGCACTAAATCTTCAGAGTTAATTATAAATAATTTTCCCGTAAATAATTGTTCATTCAATCTTCTATTCCTATTGTAGTTTAAGTGATTATTTATGAGCTTTAAATCTTAACACTTTGTTTTTCTTGCTCAGTTCTTTTAATTTACATTAGATTTATGCTGCCACCATACTATTTTCATTTTCATATCACTATGGAAGAAGAGAAGTTGAGCATGATTTCACCAGCAAAAATGAGCACGAACGAAGAATCTTCAAATTCTAATTGCCGCATTCATATTTTTCATGCATAAAAGTTCAAAAGGTAGTAAGTACCACAACAAAGTGGACATCGGGGATACAGATTTATGCGAACCACTAATAAATATGGCTCGAGACGTGTAAATCAGAGATAGACACGGCTATGGCATATGATAGTGCAGTCATTAACTCCGAGATGGAGAAACTCAATGAAATTCTCCATGGACAGGAAAAAGTATTCAAGAACCAAAATTTCAGAGCCATTTCAGCACAGAAGCAATTCTGAACATGATAAGGGATGGATCATATCCATTCAGGTTTGCTTAATTTCTGAGTCGAAAGGCTGAAATCGAAATTGACCTAAATCTTTTCTCCTTACATGGGACGGGGATTTTCCACTCCAGGCTACTTTTCAAAAAAAGGAATTAACACCAAGTAATGTTGGAAAATTGATTAGGCTAGTAATTCTCAAAAAATATGCTCTTATATATTTTTTACATTTTACTGAAATTACATAAGAAGATTTAGGAAATGGTATAGTTGATGAAGTGCAGCTTCAGTTTTATGATAGGCAGAAGAGGTTACGGAAATTTCGGTGCTGGTAATTGGAAGAGTAGGTGAGGGAAAAAAATTTAGGGCTAATCATATTAAACCTTTCTACATGTATGAGAGTGGAGATAGAGACGAACATTTTGTGTAATTGATCTGGCCAACAAAGGGCACTCGTAACAACTTGGAGCCAGGCCTTCTTTTCGCACTATTACGGATATGAAAATAATGGTAAAAATCGAATTAAATTGTCAACTACCCTTCTTGGAAATAGGATTGACTAGTGATTCTGAATGAACTGGAGTTATATCTCTTTTCCATTTCCATTCAAGAGTGTTAATGTGTTTCAAGCCCTTCCTCTTATATAGTTGATGGTTTCATCGTATAAGAGAGAGGTTGGAGCCATTCCCTATACACCGGAGAGATGGGGCAACTGTATCCATGGATTTCATTACAAGCTTGCCGGAGGATGGACCTCCTAGTAAAGGTTGTATTAGATACGAGTTCCCTTATGGTTTGTTTTGATATCCGGTAGGAATAATAAAAGTTAAAGTCCAGGTTGGTTGGTGATCCTAGTGATAGGAGACTATCTAACTTGGTTCGAAGAGCACTTGTTTGGTTAAAGATTTGGTGCAGGGATGGCATATCTTCGTCTTGATATGGGACAAAATGCGACTTACGAGTTAAACAAAGAAGAGAGAAGAATTTGAGGATCAAATGGAGTTTGTGGCAATGAATTCATAACCTAACAGCACTGAGAAGAAAATTATCGAACTCTATGGAGTCCTCATTACTCGAGATCTTCCCAGTTGAACTAATTTTATGTTATTTTTGCTGTTCTCAATTTGTTACTTGATGTAACTCGTATACATAAGTGCACTTGAATTCAATTTATTACGCTATTAAACGTTTTAGCATCATTCAATCTCATTTTTGTTTCGATACACTGTACAAAAACTTACTGCAAGTGAAAATTTTAAGAAAGTAACTGATTACCAGTGCCTCTCTTGAGGATACATGTGGCTCTGGTGCTCCATAGTTGCACTTTTCATACCTCTCCAATGTTCCAAGCATGCTGCATAGAACAATAAAACATACATAATCATTCTATAGAATATAAACCAAGGGAAGATTTGAGTGTAAATCATCGAAACACATCAAGGGACGAAATCGAGATGCCAAGCTAAGATGCCGAGGTGGACATGAAGGCCATCGTACACCGGTGGTGAGAATTCAGGAAAAGCCCAGGAAATAAAAGCCTCGACAAAATTCTTTAGTTTTAGATATTTTGAGATTCTAGACGTGCGTGGGAAAGAGGGAATGATGGTGAATTGACCATTGGATCTTTAATGTGCTCTAGCTATTAGCTAATAAATTTCAAGTTTAAGGTGGATCATCACACGCCTCGACTATAATGTAAACTTTACGAGCCTTTGTCACCTCGTAAAGTCTCCCACCCACCATGAAGCTCTACCGCGGCGGCGGCCGCGGGGTGGGGGGGGGGGGGGGGGGGGGGGAATCCCACCCACCATGAAGCTCTAATCTGTGTAATCATTTGCTTATACAATATCTATAAGTAATTATGCATCTATTTATGAGTATTCATAGCTTTCAATGTCAGTAACATGTACTGTTAACCATTAGATTGACTCGAAGACTTTTCTGGTAACTGGATACAAGACTGCTTTTGAGTAAAACAACACTGAAAAACACAAAATGAATTTTCAGATTTGAGCTAATCAATGGATATATGAAGGGATCTAAGAGGAAGAAAAAATATGGACAACAATTGATTTTAAAGCATGATCTCCAGTTCCCAAACCAAGCCCTAATCACATGAAAAACATATCCTAGTTTGTAAAGATAGATACGCACACACACATCTGATTAAAATTTCAATGGAAGTGTAAGGAAGAAAAGCATTAAACAGGAAATAAAGAGAGAAAATGATATTTTTCTTCAGAAAAGGAAAAGGAAAAAAAAAAAAAAGAAGAAGAAGAAGAAGAAAGTATAATTGAAAACCCTAAAAGTTGAAATCCTTAGACAAAACATAATAAAGAGAGAAAATGATATTTTTCTTCATAAAAGGAAAAGGGGGAAAAAAAAGAGGAAGAAGAAGAAGAAAGTATAATTGAAAACCCTAAAAGTTGAAATCCTTAGACAAAACATAACCAATTCTCTCTAGATGAATCATCAAGCTGGTTGAATGAAAATCAGTAACAATAACATTCTTTCAAAGACAACATATTCTCAAACCACCTATTCTTGAAAAAGGGGATCTTAGGTCAAGAAGGCCATTAGACAAGATCAGATTCAAAATCAACTCTTTTGTAAGTTAACAACTAAAACAAGAAAAGAATTTTAAAGAAGTGAAAAATAAAACTTGAAAATTAGATAGATCAGCACATAAATGAACTATCAAAACATAAGATCTGATCAAAATCAGTGAAAAATAAAACCCCAAAAAAATCAAATATGTCAAAGGAGAAAAGGGCTTAAAGTAAGAAAACTCAACATAATTATAGCAAATATCTTCTTTTATTGATTTTCCTCTTGCAGATCTAACAAAACCCACAAGCACAGAGTCCAAAACATTCACTAAAATGGCAAAAACTCTTTCATCATCAAAAGATTTAATTTTCTTTTCTCTCTTTACATCAAAAAAATTCAAATTTAGTCTATACACGAAAATATAGAAGCTCCAAAACAAATTCAAACCCAATTTTTTTTTTTTTTTAAAGGAAAGAAAGAAAAAACAGCTTCCATGTTTATATATATATAGATACCTAGAGCTGCTGCAAAATTCGTAGAGTTTTCCTCTATTGGAGAAGATGATCAGAGCTACCTCAGCATCACAAAGAACAGAAAGTTCATAAGCTTTTTTCAATAAACCATTCCTTCTCTTGGCAAAGGTGACTTGCCTATTGATTTTGTTTTCAATCCTCTTGAGTTCTACTCTCCCTCTTCCCATTTTCTCTCTCTCTCTACCACTCAAAACCTCACAGAACACAAATCTTATCGGTGTATTTCATGTACCACTTCCTTTAAATGTACTTATAAAGATAGATGCATGTTGTCACGTATGCAGAAGGAATACTAGTGGTAGCATAGGCTAGCATCCCATAAATTCATTTGAAAAACTGTTTTATTTATGAGTTAGGCTACACTTACAAAAGAGGTCGACAAAGTTGGATGACAAAATCACATTCACATCAATTATTTCAAAAACAGATTTTTAAATCATTTGAAATCAATGGTCTGGATTTTGCCAACACATTTTGTAACTCAACTTTTGTAATCCAACTTTGTACAAGTAACTTTATTGTTTATGTATTGCGTGTAGTACTCAAAGGTTATTCTACTTAAAAAATATTTTTTTAGTAAAAAACAGTAACTTTGAAAATTATGGCTTAAGCTCTTATTAGGTTCAGCTAAAAAAGCCGATTTATTTCAAAGTTAATAATTAATTTTAATCACAAGTTTTATGGGCCTACAATTTTATCAATTTAACCACACATTTCGTTAAATTTTATCAAAATTTATTTAAATATGAATTTTAACAAAATAAAACAAGGACTCGGGAAATAAGTAACTTAAATGTAAGTTCAAAAGTTGGTTCTTGAGTTTGTGGGCCATTTGAATTTTCACTGAGAAAGTTGATCAAATGGTGTATAAGAGAGGATGATGAACACAATTATTATATTATTTGTTCAAAGTATGTTTATAAATTTGGTTGACAAAATAAGTGTTTGTAAAATCCAGATCATTGATTTTCAATGATTTAAAAATATGTTTTTGAAATGATTGGTGTAGATATTACTTTGTAAACCAACTTTGTACATATAGCATAACTCTGAACACGAAAGATTCTGGTTTAAAAAAAGCTAATGTTCTAAAATTTGGCCTTCAAAGAAGTCAAAAGTCAAAGATCAACGATCAGATCAAAAATTGATATCGAATTTCAAATTTGTTGTTAGTATTTAAGGTCGAAAGTCGAAGGTCAAAAATCAAAGATCAGATCAAAAACTGATATCGAATTTCAAATTTATTATTAGCGTTTAGGGTCCAACCGATCAATTACGACAAGTAGGACAAAAGCAAGCAACTAGGAACGTGGGATATAGGGTATATAGAGTGCTAAACCTTATAATAAGATGGGAATTATCAATGTTAAGTGCCACGTGTCAACAAATGAAGTGGTCGGAAGCTGAATATGTGTTTCCGAGGATACTCAAGGGACCAAATCTTAATGAAGCTCAACTGTGATTTGTTACAAGGTTTTAACATTAGTGTCCCTAAACAGCTTCTCTCAATAATGGAGTGGTGGATGGACCACATTTTACCTTCTACTGTCCTTTTTTAACTTAAAGAAGAACAAAATTTATTGGATATTAAAGTATAGGTGTAAAAATATAGCTCGGTATAATTTGATCAAGGCCGGCCAAAGATTTTTGGAGTCCTAGGTCAATTTCATATGAGGTTTTCCATATAAATTTCATGAGTTTATCAGCACTTATAAATATTAATAACATCAATATCATGGGGCCCATCACATGGGTGGCCTTCTAGTGGATTGACTCATCGAAATATATATGGTTGTACGACATGTTTATAGTGAACGTAAACGTTGAATTATTCGTCTATTGACTTAAACTTTGAATTGATTAACTCAAAAGTAAGTCTAGGTTTCTAGCGAGTCTAAAAAAAGGATTTAAAGACCGGCGACCAAAAGCTTATATTCCATCTAATGCAAGGTTTTCCTCCATTATTAGTCACTCTTTGGAAACCATTGAAGAACTCTAGCCCACTAGATTAGTTCTAGAGCAAGTTAATATTTTGATACCCTTGTCGCGGAGAACACCCTATGAAGATATTGATTGTGTAAATATTTATTATTGACAACAAGATGAATAAAGCATGTAATCATACATAGTTTTCTTACTTGAAAAGGTACAAATTTATCGTTGTCAGACTGAATTTGATAATATTATGGTACTATTCTTGTTTAGTTTACGCTAACAAATATTAATTAGAAATATGTTGCCTATTCCTTTTGCATCTATAGGCAATTGTTCAAACGTATATATTACGTTACGACGTGTATGATATATTTAATATAGTGAAATAGACAGGAAAAAGCCGTATGTAGATATTTTGTTATATATATGTGTATAGTTTTTTATATATTGGATCATGTTTATTCCATTTTATTAAACATGATCACGGAAATCAGTCAAAGAAGTAATTTTTTTCTTGGCTAAAAAAGGTTGAGCAAATTATCAAATGAGAAACCCTAAGTATGTTTCTCTTATGCCCCTTTTAGGTATCGAAGGGGCATCATAATGTATACACAATTTGTAGTCACAGTTATTGACTTTGCGATTTTCCTCTTTCAACAATAAAAAGAAACATAAAAATGAAATTGAAGAAAAAGCCTCAAATCTTTCATGATCGTAGAGTTGTTAATGAAGCTCTAGTCAAGTGATCATAACTTCACAAGATTTGGTTTCCTGTATCTTTAGAACTCAAGGCTACACTGGTATCAGCTTACAGAAAATGTCATTTTCAAGTAAGGTCGTACTTTTTAAGATATTTAAAAAATTATATGGGTTAAGATTTATCAAAAAGAAAAAAAAAATGACATAAAAAATTAAATTCATTTACACGATATGTAATAGTTGTGCCCACCATTCATGACTCCCACTACTCTATATTCTCCCTTCATCGCAGTGAAATATTTATGTATTTCTGCATTCACTATAAGTATTTTGGTAGATGTACGAATTGTAGTGTTTTGAGATCTATTTATGTAAGAACTTACAATATATTTTTCTTTTCGGTTATTTTGCGATATTTTAAAAGTTTGTTCTTAAGTTTTGTAACGTTTAATTCAAAGTCCTACTTTTTTACCTGACAATAATTAATTATTTTCATATTTATAAAAATGAAAATTACTTCATATTTTTATTGTACCTATATCTTAATGTCCAATGCACGTGTAAATAATTAGTATATATAAATGTGTGTGTATGCATAATCATACTTTGTCTCTAAACAAGAAAATTTTATTAGTGAATAAATTTAATTTGATTATAATCACAAGTTAAAGTCTGAACATTCTCTCAAGTCTCAAGGTGAAATAAAAACCTTCGGGTTTAGATTAATTATTATTTTTCTCTTCCTTAAGGTTTGGGGCCAAAAAAAAAAAACAATTAATGTCAACAACTAGTAGAGATGTCGTTAGGGTTTTAGACAATTTCTACATGGTCAATGGAAACACTCGTCGCGGTTCGTGCTTGGACTGAACTAAACAATTATAATGAGATAAAATTTTAATCATTTAAATAATTCACGTGTATAATTTTTAGAGTTGAGATATGTTATCCATTTATGTTGTTCAATTTGCTGTACATCCAATTACAAATTGACACAATGAGAATTTAAAATTGATGATAACTTTAATTTTGTATGGTATCTCAATTTATAATTAAGTAGACAGCAGATCTCAACTCCAATTTTTGTATAAGAGTGATGACAAAATTTGCACCCAATATCATGTTAAATTAGTTTATTTAAAAATTTAAATTACGAAAAAATAATATTTTTTATTAAGCCCTATTTACAACCATTGAAACAAAATTCATTTTCTTTTTAAACTCATTTCAACAACATATTCTCATAATGAAATATTTTATACATAAATCCATTTTTTTTTCTATTTATTTACCATACATTTCCCCAAAAAATAATTATTTCATAACTAATTTTCTCTGAAAAAAATTATTTTAATAGTTTTCTAACTATCTATTTGTTAGCATTTAAAATAATTATCATTTTTCTATATACTCATTTTCAACAACACCTTCTCACAATAAAATATTTTGCACATAAATCTATATTTTCCTACTTTTTAATTACATATTCTTTAAAAATTTACTATTCAAAATATTATTTTTCATAAATAATATCCACCAAGCAGGGGCTAAATATGTTGAAACTTTAAACTTTATAAAACTAGAAACTTTAGAACTTGTAAAATCCTAAATTTCTTTATTGTCAAGATCCTCCATGTCAAAACACCAAGAAAATTACTTTAGCGAAACATACCTTAATTATTTGGGAATGATTTATTATTACTGGATCTTAATTTCGGATCATAAATCTTGAAACTTGAAATGTTATCTTTTCATCTTTGATTTCTTCACTTTTAATTTTGAATTTTGCCGCTTTTGATTCTTTAATTCTTATTCTCGGTTTTGCTTCTTAATCCATAATCTTGATTCTTGAATTACTTTTTATTTTTTTTATTCTTGATTCTGGGTATTGAATCTTCCTCTTCAATATGTTTTCTCTTGTATTCTTGTATTGATGAGATGATACAAAGAATGAGAAGTTACATATGAATTGTGGATCATAACTCTATATATATTTATAAATATTTTGTCCATCATGAAATACAATTCTAAAGGATTTCTACACATAAGCCAGCACATACTTTATTTAGATGCCTTGAGCCCAACAATTTAATTCTTCATTAAATCACTTTAATTTTAAACTTAACTTTAAGATAACTTTATACACAATTAATTACATTTGTAGGCCCACATAACAAATCAAAACTTTTTCAACAATCTCTTACTTGGGTCACATATGTTACCTGATAAATTTGTATAACCTTATGACATCAAAAACTTTTGCTATCATAACCAAAAGCATATCCGAACAATCTTATCTATCAATTATGTCAATACAGGTTTAAAGTGGTATTTGTTACAAATATCTTAACTAAATCTTCAATGTCACATATATCAATACCATCAAATGACATAGATCAATTGTGGATGTGTAGCATGAAAATTATATGTAATATGATCCAAACATGCAAATTTTCAACTAGTCCTGCCTTAATCTTTAATGAGATCAACCATAAATTTTAAACAAAGTGGAATTGAATTGAATACTTTATTTCTGAAATAAACCAAATATCCATGGATAGATTTATGTGTCTAAAATAAACAATATTTAAATACAAACTCCCACCAAACTGGTATATCATCAAAAGATGCAACCCCATATGAGCAATATGCTCATGAAAGACTTTGGGTGATAGCCCCTTA